AGTTAATGTTGAGTTCATGGGAGTTGATAGTGAAAACAGAGTATTTAACAGTCAAACTCGTGAAATTAATTTAAATTTGAATAGAAATAGCAAGGAGATTTCTTCTATTGTTGGCTGGGTTTGTTGGCGAATACAAGTTTAGTAGTAGGTAGTAGTAAGTAGTAGTAGTAGTATAGTAGTAGTAGTTGTAGGTAGGTAGGAGACTTGTAGTGGTGATGTAGGTGGTGGTTCTGGGAGTTGTGGTGAGTACCTGTAGTGGTCTGGGCTAGGTAGTCGTAGTACTATTTGGGTGTTGCAGGAGAGGGTTAATGTGGAGTCTTTGATTATTGGTAGGTATTTCTTTAGATACAATGACGACATATGCGACTTAAGGCAGCTAGATTTTCTGTGACGGAGCTACGGATTTAATTAAAATCGGGCAAATATTCATGTAATTTAGGTATTTCTCACGTTAGCTTCTTTCGGCCCGTTTGTTTGTTACCCAGGGTTGCGACACTAACGTGCTTAGTCCGTTAGTCGAGGACGTTAGTAAAAAAGTCCAGAGAGGACTAGTAGATTCCCATAGCAGTTAGGTCCGGCGGGACTAGTTAGTATTTTTCCCGTACCCTCACCGTCCCAATTTCCGCATTGATCTTGACCGGGCCGGCAGGTCTCTAATCCTAAGATCAAGGAGTTATATTTAATTCGTAGCATTAAGAAGTTTTTCCTGTAACTAATAGCGCATAGTCAAGGTTAGAGTACGCACGCTCAGCACGCTCTGAAGCATGCTGCTAGACCTTGCGGCAGTAAAAACATTGTGTAAACATGGGGCCACGGAACGCCGAGTCTACCAAGCTTGACAGTAGCTGTGTAGACATTAGAACAAAAAGGCCGGTGGTTTTTTGCTGATGTGTATGAATAGTGATGCAATTAATCTATGGATTGTAGGCTCGTCATTAGGAGGTATCTTAATCGCGATCTCTAGCATCGTATGGGCCGGTGTATCTTGAAGCATGCATTACAAATAGTGAGTGAATCTAATTAGTATGAATTCGTTAATTGCGAATAGTTATAATGATATGATTTGTATAGGGAGCGAGTGCAAGGTTGTTATGTGGAAGTATTGTGGACGGGCTGCGCCTCCACCTCCAAACGTAAATCGCGTGAGAAATTAGATGTGCAGGGTGTCTAATGATAAGACGAAAAGGATTGCGTGCGTTTAGACACGCACTGCACACCGTGTACGGTGCACACGCGCGCACACACAGCACGACGCACGCACGGTGTACAGTGCACACGCACGCACGGCACACACGTGTGCGTCGCCCACGCCACGCGCGCACGTGCACACGCACCACACGCCACAGCAGGGGGTGGTACGCTCGCCCTCGGTACGCCGCACGTTGTAACATGCACACGCACGGCAGGCACGTGTTCGTGGCCACACGCCACGTTACCACACACACTCACGTACACAACACACGCACGCGCACGCACCCCAACCACAACACACACACAACACAGCAACACACACACACACACGTGTACGTGTCTATGGTCTATGCACGCACGCACGCACACAGGTACGGTTGCACACGCACGCACGCCCGCACGTGTTACGTGCACACGCACGCCACACAGTGGACGTGCCTATTCACGCACGCACGTGTACGTGCACACGCACGCACGCAACACGTGTTACGGCACAGTGCCACGCACGCACACACGTGTACGTGGCACATGCACGCACGACGTGTAGCGCCTACTGCATGCACGCACGCACGTGTACGTGCAGCGCATTACGAGGCACAGCGCAACGCACACAACGTGTACGTGCCAAGACACGCACGTGTAAGTGCACTGCGTGTAACTGTGCAGCACGGCACGCACGCACCCACGTGTACGTGCACACGCACGCAACGGCTTACGTGGTACGTGTTACGTTGCAGATCAGCTTTTCCTCGCGCAGATGTTTTCACTTAATCTTTGCGACTCTGATTTACTTGGTTTTCTCGCTATTTAGCGTTTCCCTTCGCTAATAGTATGTCGCATGTTTAGCAGATGATTACCTGGGACTCGGATTATTTGTTTGTTCTCATATACCGGTTGACGGGATTATGTGTATTGGAATGCTTGGTCACAGTCTTTAACAGTCCCCTTTTTATTAAAACTACGTCCGGACTACTTAAAAATAATTGAAGTATGGATGTTTACACAGCGCCTTCTATCGGGGGATAGCAAAGACGTTTCTTGGAGCTCAGTAGTGAATTACGCTTTCATACTTAACGGGCGGGGGGGGGGGGGGGGGGGGGGGGGGGGGGGGGGGGGGGGGGGGGGGGGGGGGGGGGGGTGGTGTGGGGTTGTGTGGGTGTGTGTGGGGGGGGGGGGGGTGGGGTGGGGGGGTGGTGTGGGGGGGGGTGTTGGTTGTTTGTGTGGTGGGTGGTGTGGGGGGGGTGGGTGTGTGTGTGTGTGGGTGGGTGGGTGTGTGGGTGGGGGGTGGGTGGGGTGGGGGGTGGGGGGGGGGGGGTGTGTGGTGTGGTTGTGTGGTGGGGGGTGGGTGTGGGCGACAAGAGGCTGCGGTTGGCGCGATTTCGAAATTAACGCGTGGAAATAAATTCATGCATTGAGAGGTTAGATGACTGAGAACCCTAACCCTAACCTAACCTAACCCCATAACCGACTAACTCTAACCCTAACCCTAACCCTAAGCCATGGCTTAAACCTAACCCTAACCTAACGTAACCCAATATTGCATTCCGAACGCCAGTTTAGCGAGCCGTGACGCGCGTCAACGGGTATGGAAAAAATAATGCGGCTCCGCGACAGTGCACGCGGCGCAATCTATCCAGCGATTATAAACTGGCGAACCCATTAGAAATGCAATGCTGATTGGAATAAGGCAGCCTAACGATGACGTCAAGCTGTGCTAGCTGACAACGCCAAGGGTTTTAGATGTCGGCAGCAGCTTACCTTTAGCGACAAGGCTGCAGGAAGCGTTCATTACGGCATAGCCAATACAAGGCGCCGGGAACAGTTTCAGGTCCGTACGCAGCGGGGGGCAGCAGGCGCGGGGCAGTTGCCATAGAGATTTCAAGAGTATGCCTTTAAATGGACAAGAATTACTGTACACTTTTAGAAATAAAAATTGAAATGTGGGCAAAAGCGTTATCTTAAATCAT